AATTTAATTATGTTCATGTCAAATAAGAATGTTTTTCAAAAATTGCAGTAATTGTAGCCTGGGAACAAAAATACCCCAAAAAATCACCCTAGCTCCCCAAATGGGTATTAAGTTTATAAAATATATTTTGTAACTATCTTATACTAAATTTAAATTCATCAAGAGTTTTTATATTTCATCCAATAATCTATCAGTATTTGAAAGTTATAACCATGTGATGTTTCCATCCTCCACATAATGAATAGATGGAAAAATCACTTGGTTAAGTAGGGGAGGAGGGTCAATCTTTTCAAACTTTTATTTCTAAAAGGTTTTACTCTCCATGCTGTTTTAAAGAAAATGGTGAGAAAACTTTACAAATGATTTCACTGTCACATTATTTTATATCAGGAAAAGCTGATCACTTAAAATGATTGTTGATCCTAAAATAAAAAACTCTACTAAGAATAAAAAACTATACTTCATAAAGCTTACCATCTAACCATCACTGATAACCTAATAAGAGTATTAATTTTCTTTTAAAATAATTTAAAAAACATTTTAAAAAATTATATTCTAATTTGAAAAAAGTCAAAATTAAAATGTTTAAAAAAAAACATTTAGGCTAAATTTTTTTGATTGAAACTAAATAATGAATGCATACAAACAAAATTAAAATTATTGTTTTAGTAGAAAGTCACATTTAATTCTTAATTTTGTTATAAACTTTTTTTGGGGATTTAGTAAAAAGTTATACAATTAACACGATTTGGTGATTGTGGCAAAAAAAAAAAACAAAAAAAAAACAAACGACATCTTGAAAGAAAAAATTTATACGATGATGTTGTATACCAAAACTGTTATGAATTAAACACGCATGGTATAAATTATCAAGTCTGCAGATTGCGGCTAACATTATACAGACTCCAAGAACCAAATAAAAATGGAGATGGCGAGCTTTGACGAAAACGTGAATATTAAATTTAATGGTGTGCATTCATTATACAGTTTTAATCAAAAAAATTAAGCCCAAATGTTTTTTTTAAACATTTTCTTTAATAAGAACACAACTTTCCTCGGCAGTTTGGGATCCCTTTAAGCTTCTTTAATATTGAAGGCCCAAAATTTAATATTGAAGTTTAATATTAAAGAAATAATGCCTAAAATTAATTACATATGTTCAATAAACATAAAACAAGATGCAAGTTAAAAGTTGTTGAATGTCTACAGCCGTACAAATTTGAAAAAAATTACCCACCAATTTTTTTTTTTTTTTTTTTTTTTTGCATTAAAAGAATGATATTATGGAGTAATAGAAAATCTTTACATTCATTCTTGAGATGTTTCCCATTTCTCATATTAGCTGATTTTTGAATGCTAGTTAAAACAGTTTTTTATGGTTTGATGACTCATTAGTATATTTGTAAGCAACGCCCTCTCAATTTTTTTTATATCATTAAAATTACAATAGGATACCCTTTCAAAGAAAACCATAAGATATCTTGCTTGAACCTTTTATAAATTGAAATAAAAGTAGACCCCAAATTCAAAATTTTTTTAAAGCCTTTAAATTTAGTTTAAAAACTACAAAATCCCAATAATGACTTTCCAAGTGTTAAAAGGTCAAAAATTTGACCAACAATAATTCAGTGAAAAATATTAAGAAAAATTTTTTTTAGAGTTTGCAGGCAGAGAAAAAATAAAGACCTCTTTCTTACCTTATCAGGTAAGAAAGAGGCCTTTATTTTTTCTCTGCTCTTACCTTATCAAGTAAGAATGAGGAAAAAATAAAGGCCTCTTTCTTACCTTATCAGCATTATTATATAAAAAAATCGAGCGTGATTGAAGGATATCAGTTTTGAGCCAACAGCACTTTTGCCTGATTTTCTCAGAAAACGGCTCTTAAAAACAAAAGAATAAAAAAAACCTTTGCACCAAAACTGTTTTATCATTAACAGTAATCTTAGAAACATAGTCCATCAGCAACAAGTAAGATTCTTCCCAATCACCTAAAGATTTATAGCAACGTAACATATATTAAACAACCAACTAACAATGAGAAAATAAAAGTGCAAAAAAAAGTTACATGATTCTGCATCACTTAGATAGGGAAGATGGATGCTTTCAACCAGTTTACGTGCACGCTTCATCAACTCATCTTGGTTAACAGCTAAAAATTCAAGTCTTAAGTGTTTATGTTCACATCTTAACATAAGTTTTATGTTGAATGGAATGTTGTAGATAAAAAAAAAATTTTAATTTTGTTTTAAATGTAGTTTATTTAAACTAAAAATTTTTGGAACTCAGATAAGGATTAGAGCACAATTCTTGGCATTACAAATAGGTATTACAGTTAATGATTAAATTACAATTAGGTATTACAGTTAATGATTAAATTACAAATAGGTATTACAGTTAATGATTAAATTACAAATAGGTATTACAGTTAATGATTAAATTACAAATAGGTATTACAGTTAATGATTAAATTATTAGTAAAACTTTAAAATACAGAAATTTAAAAAATTATTCTCTTTAAATATTTTGAGCTACCTTAAAAAAATTCTGCTAGAACTTTATATATTAATGTAATGACGCCAATAAACCAAAATGAAATATGCAAAATGTTACTTGTTTAAACCATTGATCATAATATTTTAAAAAGATTCAGTTAACAAGCAAGCCCATTGTTAATTGATAATTAACAAGCAAGCCCGTTGTTAACTGACAATTAACAAGCAAGCCCATTGTTAACTGACAATTAATAACCAAGCTCGTTGTTAACTGACAATTAACAAGCAAGCCCATTGTCAACTGACAATTAACAAGCAACCCTATTGATAACTGACAATTAACAAGCAAGCCCGTTGTTAACTGACAATTAACAAGCACGCCCGTTGATAGCTGACAATTAACAAGCCCATTGTTAACTGACAAGTGCATTACAGAAATTAACAAGGAAGATCAAATAATGCAAAAGTTTGGAAATCAAAATAAAAGAAAGATTGGTTTTTATATAGAAATTAAAAGAATTGTAAAACAATCGAAAGCTTATAATAGTATATAAAAATACATTCAACCATATAAGTATTGGTTAGAAATAAAAAATATATAAAATTAAAAATGCAAGTTGTTCTACATACTTCAAAATTGATGGACATAAGACATCTAAAAATACAAAAGGCTTTTTTGAATCTTTCCTAAAGTTTGCCTTAACTGTAGAGTAAAATTCAAAACCATGAAAGTTTGTCAACAACTAAATGATCATCTTGAGTAAGACAACCTCTTATTCAAGAAATAATTTGGTTTCTGCAGAGGTAAGCCCACTGAAATAGCAGTAATATTATTTACAGATAGATTACACAGATTAATCAATAATGGTAAATTGGTTAGGGGCATATTCATTAATCAGTCAAAAGTGTTTGTTAGGTTAATTATGTTGTTATATCTTGGTGTTAAAAACTCTGAACTAAACTAGTTCACTGACTCTTTTCTAACAAATATCAAACTGTTCAATAATATTTTATTTGCTCTTGAGCCAGTAACGTTTAAAATAAGATTGTTAAAATTCTAAAAACAGGAAAAATAAAATAAAAAAAATCCTTTTTAAATAAATACTTTTTAAATAATTTAAACTTTTTGTAATTAATTTTTTAAGCCCCCAATTCTCAGAATTTTTTATTTTTTTGATATACTTAATGAAATGCAAAAAAACCAAAATGACTCAAACATTATTAAATATGCAGATGATGCCCAAATTAGTATACTGTTTAATGATATTACCAACTCTAACTTACTGCAACCCTATTATTGTTGCCAATAAGCAATTAATTATCAACAAAATGGATGGTCTAAATAAAAGTGCATTAAAAATTTTAATAGGAAAATCAAAAAATAATAAGTTTTTATTGCCTAATATAGAAAACATGTGGAAAAAAAAGTGCCCTTGTATTAAACATATGGAAAAAAAATGCTCATGTTAAGAAAGTTTTACGTAATTAGTTTGATGAAAATATTTGATTGCAATACTTTTAATTTAACTAAAAATGTCTATTATTACAGGCGTTTATTATTACAGTCGTTTCGATGAGGATCAGCACTTTTAATAAATGTTATGTATGTAAAAAGTTTTTTTAAATAATTATTTAAAAAAATTTTAAATCTTTTTAACTCTTTAATAATTTAAATTTTAAATATTCATGGAATTTATTTCTTCCATCTAACATCTTAAAATTTATTTGCTTGTTAAATTTCATACATTTTACAGGACCCTGAATAATAGCAATATTAATATTATTAGCGAAATAAAGTTAGGGTCATCCATAAATTACATCACAAAATTTTTGACCATTTTTTAACCCTCCCTTCATCTCGTCACAACATCTTAACTCTTTAATAACAAGATTTGTATAAGTTGTCACAAAACCATTCACTTCCCAAAGAGCTTGACATAATTTATTCACAACCCTTTAACAGAATTGAATAGCGTTAAAAAAATACAGTAACAAAGGACACAGTTCAAAAATAAGCTGGAAACAATTGTGAATAGTACCTGATGACATACACATATTTTTTACTGCTGATTCAAGTGTATCATTGAAAAATTGAATGACATCATTCGGAAACTAAACAACAAAGATTATATATCATTTTTAAAAATACTATTTTAAAACAAAACAAAAACTCAACAATATGAATTAATCTATAGGGCTTTTCTAGACATTTATACCTATTTGTATAGGAATTATATTTACCAGCATGAATCTTATACAATGACATACCGGATATGATAAATGTGTTTGCTGACAGTAGAAGATGTGCTCATGAAACATGTTAAAAAAGTATGATAATAGATCTAAATTAAAGGAATATAAAAAATAATGTAAAAAATAGAATATTAAAAAAATATGTAAACATAGAATAACAAAAAATAAAATCATGTAAATTAATCACAATATTATATATATATATATATATATATATATATATATATATATATATATATACAAAAAATAATAATAATACAGTCTTCAATGTATGAGGCAAGAGATTTGGTAACAACATCCCATGAAGAGTTTAGTAACAACCATTCAACCATTGATTTTAACTAAAATGTAGACATCTATATTTTTAATTAACTTCAAAAAAAACCATCAATTATGACAGTTCTGTTTTTATATTAGTTTTATATTATGAATAAACAACTATGGTATATATTCATAATTCAAGCATGCTTATTCAAAAAAAAAAGCACAAGATATACATGTATACTTATGTGGATATGTATATAACTTATGTATGTATGCATGTGCACATATATATTATGTGTGTACCAGGGCTGTTTCACTAAATATAAAACATAATATATATGTGCATGGGCACATATATATTGTGTGTACAAGGGCTGTTTCACTAAATATAAAACATAATATATATGTGCATGTGCACATATGTGTGTACCAGGGCTGTTTCACTAAATATAAAACATAATATATATGTGCATGGGCACATATATATTGTGTGTACAAGGGCTGTTTCACTAAATATAAAACATAATATATATGTGCATGGGCACATATGTGTGTACCAGGGCTGTTTCACTAAATATAAACACATAATATATATGTGCATGTGCACATATATATTATGTGTGTACCAGGGCTGTTTCACTAAATATAATAATGAGCATGACATGAGTTTATCAAAAAAAAAAGTATTTCCGCATAAAAAGTATAAAAACTCAAACTTTAAAATAGCTGCAACTTTTTTCTATAACTGCTTTCATCTTTAAATTTAAAAAATATAAAGGATCCATCTTTTCTTATTAAATAAATATTTACATTATGTAAATATTTATTTAATAAGAAAAGACCTTCTCATTTAACAGATTTAAAGACCTTCTCATTTAACAGATTTAAAGACCTTCTCATTTAACAGCTAATCCCCCTTTTAACGACATTTTTCATAATTTTGCAAAAACTGCAGTTTTCATTCAGACTTCAATAAAGTCTGTTTTAATTAACCTTTAACAATTAAGTAAGGTTTTTTGTTTTTATAATAGTCAAACAAGGAGTGTATTTGATAATAACCATCAGAAATATATTTTTCTGATTTTTTTTTGATAAAAAGTAACATGAAATTACTAAAATTCAACCAAGTCACCATTTGTCGTGTTTATTCTAACCTAAAAGAAGTTTTTTTACTAATGCATTAAATGTCGTAAGATGAATCATTTTATTGGTGTTTATATTTTTTTTACAAAACAAAATTACCTCTTATATTTCAAAAGTTATAAATATTTTAGTAAGACCCCTTAAATCAATATTTTCAAAAAATAACAAGAAGCCGTAAAGCTTAGTTTGAAACAGCCGTGGTACTTGCATGATTGATTGACAACAACTTTTAATTAATATATTACAACAAATATATTCAAATGTTAAAACTAGCAACTGTTAAAACTAGCAAGCCAACATTTTGCAGCGTTCCCTGGTGGCAGAATTTTTCTGGCTTTAACAAATGTATTTCTTCAAATACCTCCTTTACACAACATCAAGGTAGCTACTTTGATGTTGTGTAATAATTCCCTTATATTTCTTTTTCATCTACTTCTTACACAAAAACATTACAAAAAAAAGAAATTTTACCTGACTATGTACTTTATCAGCAAGTTTTATTTTGTCATTAACCAACACACACCAGCATTTATATCCAGATTGCTTTAAACTACTAATTTCAAGTTCATTTTCAACGAATGATTGTGTAAATGTGCTAGTAATAACTGCCAACACAGATGGTTTTTTATAGCGTTGAAGGTGGTCATGTATCAAAAACTTCGCTTTTAAAAGATCCTCCTGCATCTAAAAATATTGTTAAGGAAAGAAAATTATAAAAAAATAAAAAATAAAAAAATAAAAAATGTAAAAAAATTAAAATAAAAAATACCTCTTTTTCATTTATTTCAATAAAATATATAAATCCAGAAAAATCGCAAATTGAATCACTGGCTTCACTTTCTAAAATAGACTGGAACAAAAGTTAAATATAAATTAAAAATTAAATAAAAATAATAAATAAATACTAAAACTTTAAAAAAAACCTCAACAATCACAAGAGTTTGGTGTGTTTGATGTTTAACGCAAGATTCATAAAGAATGCTTGGTGCAACCTAAAAGAAATACATTACAGTTTACAATACAGTAATCAATGCTATTTGAACTTCTGTGTATCATATTCTGTTTGAACTTCTGTGTAAAAAACATAGCCTGATTTCTAAACTTTTAATAAAACTTTTAAATTTTTTATTCTTAAAAAAATTTTTGTGCATTGATTTTTAATTTTAAAAAATAACTTAACAAATTGATAAAAACATTTTCAAAATCATCTCAGATTCATCTTCCTCCTCTGATCAGATTCATCTTTCTCCTCTCATCAGATTCATCTTCCTCCTCTCATCAGATTCATCTTCCTCCTCTCATCAGATTCATCTTCCTCCTCTCATCAGATTCATCTTCCTCCTCTCATCAGATTCATCTTCCTCCTCTCATCAGATTCATCTTTCTCCTCTCATCAGATTCATCTTCCTCCTCTCATCAGATTCATCTTCCTCCTCTCATCAGATTCATCTTCCTCCTCTCATCAGATTCATCTTCCTCCTCTCATCAGATTCATCTTCCTCCTCTCATCAGATTCATCTTTCTCCTCTCATCAGATTCATCTTCCTCCTCTCATCAGATTCATCTTCCTCCTCTCATCAGATTCATCTTCCTCCTCTCATCAGATTCATCTTCCTCCTCCCATCAGATTCATCTTCCTCCTCTCATCAGATTCATCTTCCTCCTCTCATCAGATTCATCTTTCTCCTCTCATCAGATTCATCTTCCTCCTCTCATCAGATTCATCTTCCTCCTCTCATCAGATTCATCTTCCTCCTCTCATCAGATTCATCTTTCTCCTCTCATCAGATTCATCTTCCTCCTCTCATCAGATTCATCTTCCTCCTCTCATCAGATTCATCTTCCTCCTCTCATCAGATTCATCTTCCTCCTCCCATCAGATTCATCTTCCTCCTCTCATCAGATTCATCTTCCTCCTCTCATCAGATTCATCTTTCTCCTCTCATCAGATTCATCTTCCTCCTCTCATCAGATTCATCTTCCTCCTCTCATCAGATTCATCTTCCTCCTCTCATCAGATTCATCTTCCTCCTCTCATCAGATTCATCTTCCTCCTCTCATCAGATTCATCTTCCTCCTCTCATCAGATTCATCTTTCTCCTCTCATCAGATTCATCTTCCTCCTCTCATCAGATTCATCTTCCTCCTCTCATCAGATTCATCTTCCTCCTCTCATCAGATTCATCTTCCTCCTCTCATCAGATTCATCTTCCTCCTCTCATCAGATTCATCTTCCTCAAAATCCTCTCAGATTTAACTCCTACTCAATAGCAACAACAATAGTAAAAAAATAAGTAATTGATAAATGAGAATAATTTCATTCTAATCTATCATTTCTGTACAACAAAAATTTATCAAAGGAGTAACACCAAACATTAAAAATAGAAAAATTAAAATAATAAAAACAATAAATCATAAAAAAAGACTGGAACGTCAGAATCAAAAACTAACATCTGTTCGCTCATCTGTTCTCTTCAACATTTTATTTATTTTAAGAGTTATAAATCTACTGGTGAAGATCAAATAAGTCCATGAGCTAACATAATGGCAAATATATTTTAAAAGTAATTGGAACAATAGTACTAAAGGTTTGTATCAAATATAACTCCATTATTCAAAAACAACTCTTATTGAAAAATGAGCTCCATTACTCAAAAACTGTAGCGAATGTAACTCCACTATTCAAAAATGAAAGATTGACCCAACAGACTACAGACTAATTTTTATTACCTCTATACAATGTAAAATAATGGAAAAAATTATCAAAGAGAAAATTATGCATCACTTAGTATCTAACAATCTTCTTTCTAAATGTCAATCTTCTCTCTAAATGTCGATTTTCTACCAATATTTTAAGATCGGTTTCCCTAATTTTCCCCTGATATTTCTCTGATCCACTACATATTTTCCCTGATTTAATTTAAAATTACTTTAAACTAAACTTCAAAAAATATATATTTATATTCTTTTAGATCTAGGCTCTTAATTGCAAAAATATATACATTAATACAGCACACATTCAAAGTACCAAGAAAAGTTCAAGAATTGTTAGACGAATGGTTATTAAATAATCAAAAACTATTTCAATATACTTCCCACATATTTTTTTGTCGAATGTTCTAACTCATTTATTATAACTCCTTTCGAATCTTCCAATCTTCAAATCTCGTTACTTTCTTCCAAGGCATTACTTGATTCTTATCTGTTCGTTTTTTAACAAGATAAAGCATTTCCTTCATAAAAAAATCAGCATTTGGTTTAACAGTAATAAGGTTGTTATTCAAATCTGAATACAATTTATCATTTAAAAGTCTCGGACTGTTATCGCCAGATTCCACATTAGTGTACAAGATGCTTTCTACAATGTCAACAATACATTTAACAATTGCAGCTTTACTGCTGATATTAAAAGTACAGTAATTGTCTTTAACAGAAAGAACTTTTTGTTTGTATTCTTGTTATTAATGTTATTATTACAAAAATTCTAGTTATTGACGTAATCATTATCAATAAGTACTACAAATAACATTTGTAGTACTTAAAAGAATTAGGGTTATGTAGTGTAAAATGTCTGAAAACATCGTTCTTCTCTTTAACTTATTTATTCTTTTTTTAGTGAAATGCTTGAAAAAGTGTTTTGGTCATTCAATTCATCTAGCACAAATTTTAATGTTAGAATAAATAAGTTTTTTAATTAGTTCTGGGCATAACTCAGCAGGTGCAGATCCATGAATCCGACTCAATTCAAGATTAAAAAAGTTACCATTATTTCCATGAATAATATTTATAAACCAACAGTTTTTACTGGATTTTCATTCATCTGTGGTTAAATGTTTTTTATTTAGCTTAAAAATTTAGCTAAAAAAACTTTTAAAAATCAAAATATGTTTTTTATTAGGCTTTTGTAAAATTTCATTTACAACTACTTTCTTTATTTTATCAGCATAATCCATTACTTTTTTATTAATATTTTTGAGCGATTTTAGTATCTCTATGTAGCCTTTTGATTTCAATAGCATCTTTAAATTTTCAGAAGTACAAAATTTAATGAAAAGAACACCATCTTTTGCAATCATTCTTGAAAATACCGCTAAAAGAGATTTGTAGTTTTTGGTGAAAAAATTAATTTTTTTTTGATACTACATGAAATTACCAGTTCTTTTGAGCATTCTTCTATATTTCTTTTTAACACATTAATATTATGTTGACTCTTTTGATGGCATGTAAACCACTAGTACTTAACCAGCTGTTTTAATTCTTTTTGGGCATCGTTTACATATGACTTTATCTCTTGTTTGGCTATCTATATCTCATGTTTCTGTACACTGATAGTAATTCCAAATTGAACTTTTATTTATTAAAAGGTATCCTAGATCTTTAAAATAAAAAACTAAAAAAAAAAAAGATTTTCTTTAACTATAAAAATTGTTAGCAATTGGAGAAATTTTGTAAATCGATTTTGCAAAAAAAGCAAACATCTATATTATGTAAAATGTTTTTAATTACAGTCAATAAGTTTACTTACATGTTGAGTTCAAACAAATAAATGCTTTACATTCTTAAGATTTGTAATGTTATTGACAAGAAAAAATATATAAATAATTTATTTAACTTAAATAGCATGTTATTTATTATATAAAAATAACCAATTATGAACTTAACCAGTCTTTACATTATTAAAAAACCTGAATTAACAGTAAATTACAAAAATTTACTGATAAAAAATTTGAACCAAATTTACCTATTTACCAGTGAACCGGAAAATAGCTAAATACTGATAACAGGTATTACAATCATTAAGAATCTTTTAAATTTTAATGTACATATAACTACTTGTTGCTAAGCTACTATTACAATCCATAAGAATATTTACTTAATTTTTAATCTCTATTAACATTTAAAACCACTAATAACAAAGCTCATCATAGATTTTTTAATCATAGTTTACCATAACATAATTTTAAAATAATAATATTTGAAATCATAATAACATAATTCAGTTTTTTTGATCAGGTAGTTGATAGTTCACAAAAGTTTTTTATTTATAGTTTACCATAACTTAATTTTAAAATTGTATTTATTTCTTTATATTACCAGGGGTCGAAAAAGGTATTATACATCGCCACCCCTCAAACCATTCTTGAGACATGCTAGAGGAGGACAACGATTGTTCATTTTTCCAGTAAATATAAACAAAATTGGGTTTCATCCTTTAAACAGATCTCAAAAATGATTCAGGGGGACGCCAAGGTCTGACACTTATTTCAATCACTAATATATTATTTTTGAAAACAACTTAAAAAACTTTATCAGCTTTTATTTCAAACAGCTTTTATAACAAAACTTCTTTAAATATAAAAATGCACAAAAATGAAATAGAAAACCTGACAAGTAGCTTAGCAACAAGTAGTTACTATTTCATTTAAAAGTTATATATACATTTTTGGAACACTTTAAGTTGTTCAAAAAGCAAACTTTCATTATACAAAAATAATATGTTTTAATGTTACAAAACAACAAAATAAAAAACCTCGCTGTAGTTGATATTGCGAAACTTTTCTCTTAGCATGCTTGATGATATAAGATGAACATTTCGTTGCAACTGTTGGTTATCAAGATTTAAAATCCCAAGCTTCCAGACATTATTTTTAGAGCAAAAATTCTGTTCCATTTTACTTTTCACAATTTCATGCAGATCAATAGGTTTGTGAAGAGACCCTCTATATTTTAAAGTAAACTCTATAAGAGACCCTTTTTATTGTAAAACAAATTTAAAAACCTTTTATATTGTAAAACAAATTATATTAAATTATAAGACCCTAAGTTGTAAAATAAAATCTATAAAAACAGTTTTAGCATATTAAAAAAAAATTTTTTTTTTACAAAAAGTTAACATTAAAACAACAAACTATGAATACATAAAATATATACATACATCCTATTTTCTATTTCTTTGTTAAAATTAGGAAATGAAGCAACATCTGAATTTCTGTTTAAAAAAACAATTTATAAATAATCAAAAGATTTAAAAAACTTATAAAACCACCTCCAGCACCATCATCACCAAAAACTTCTTCAAAAATATGCCCATAATTTAATAATAATATATAAATAATAATAATAATAATAATAATAATAATAATAATAAAATTACTAAAAATAGTAATAATAACAACAACAATAACAATATTAAATTATATAACAATATTAAATTATAATATATATATATATATATATATATATATATATATATATATATATATATATATATATATATGTATATATATATATATATATATATATATATATATATATATATATATATATATATATATATATATATATATATATATATATATATATATATATATATATATAGGCTTGGTCGGGAAGCAGGAGTGATCACTCTTGAATACTGACCCCGGAAATTGTATTTAGTTGCGAAAAACTGGCCAGGTTTTTAGTCGTTTTGAGAACATTTAAGTTTATGTACAAAACAAAAAATTTTTGTTTTACGGACATACATGGAAACATAAAAAACTTGAATGTTCTCAAAACATCTTGGTGCCTAAGAATAAAAAGAATATTTGCGAACACTAAAAACCTGCCAAATTAACGAACAAACTAATTCTATTGGTTCAAAAAATACGCTGACTAAGCAAAATAAAGTTCTAGAGTATTCTGTTGAAATGTTTTTGAAATTGTATCATTCTCGATTTGTTACGTTTTGAGGTTTCTAGCATAAACTGTTTCAAGAATATATATTATTTGTTTACAAAAATAAATGTTTTAAATATATATTAATTAAATTGTCAAAATTTTAAAAGTTTATTATAAATTATAAATTTTATTAGTATATTCTTATTTTTATTTAAAAAGTATGTATTCTTTATGTAAATGTAATTTTGTGTACCTGTTTTTTATCGTAATGTATCTTTTAAAGCAATTTTTATGATTTAAACAAAGACTTACAAAAATAATTGCGTTTTCAATGAAGTTATAATCATGAAAGTTAATAAAACTAGTTATGTAACAAACATATAAGAAGTTTCTGGTTACTAAACACAAACAACGCATACAAAGTAACTCGCGGATGAACATGCATCGCGCCTGAGGTCACGACAGAACACAAATATATATATACATATATAGCAAATAATTAGATATAAGAAAAAGTTTCTAGATATTGGTTTACTAACTCTTATTATTTTTGCTTAAGTTGCAATCATTAAAACTCGTTATACTTTTTCCTGCTTTAAATACTAATTAAAATTAAAAAGCCCACTTACTAAACATCATCAGCGATATTATAAAGCAGTTTTGCTTCCTCGTCATAAAGTATTTTTAACCTTTAGTTGATTTCTATCTTGTTAATTAAATTTCTAAAATACTTTAATGATTTAATTATTTCATTTGTTTATCTTACTAAAAAGAACCGCTTCAAATATGTTAAACTTTTCAAACTACGCGAAACATAAAATAGGTATTAAAAAAATTAACTTTTTTATTTATAAAATAATTTAGCTTAAATAAAACTAAAACTTGCAAACTTTGTTAAGTAAAGAAAATTTGTTTCCTTTTTAAACAATCATAAGATGTTACTTTATATAAAAAACATCGCTTAATTTTATAAAAAAAATTATAAAAGAGCGATGTTTCGAAAATATTTGTTCTAAAATGAAATTATTTAGCTTTAAGTTTTTTTGCGTTTAAAGATATTTTATTTGCCTAATTTTTTTTTTTTTTTAATTGTCTCTCATTGGTCCAATTAATCTTGTACGATTTTTTTTTTTGCTTTTTAAAATGTTCTCAAAACGACTAAAAAATATGGCCAGCTTTTCACAACTAAATACTATTTACGTGGTCAGCAATCGAGAGCGATTGCTCCCGCTTCCTGACCAAGCCTGTATATACATATATATATATATATATATATATATATATATATATATATATATATATATATTTATATACATATATATATATATATATATATATATATATATATATATATATATATATATATTTATATACATATATATATATATATATATATATATATATATATATATATATATATATATATATATATATATATATATATATATATATATATATATATATATATATATAGTATATGTATATGTATATGTATATGTATATGTATATGTATATATATATATATATATATATATATATATATATATATATATATATATATATATATATATATATATATATATATATATATATATATATATATATCAGGGGCTATTCTACACCGCTTTCGACAGCGTCGACTGTATTTGGGTGCCGCCCAAATAAAAAATTTGAGGTCCTTTATTTTTTTAATGACAAATATTGTTTTTTTTTTTTTGGCAGAAAAACGCTGATTTTCCGCTAAGTTTCCTTGAGACAGGGGTGTACTGCCGCCCAGTACACCCCTGTCTGTATGTATATGTATATATATATATATATATATATATATATATATATATATACATATATATATATATATATATATATATATATATATATATATATATATATATATATATATATATATATATATATATATATATATATATATATTGTTTGGTGAGATGATTAAGTTTGTTTTCTGCTAGCCCTAGTCTAATAATTGTTTTTATAAATTACGATTGTAAATTATTTTCTTATTAGCAAATACATACACTTTAAAAAAAAAAAATTGTTCTTATATATATAATTGTTCTTTTAAGATTACCTGAGGAATTTATCTCTCAATGAAGGTTGTAACTTTTTCATAAGAGTTTCAGCAGATTCAAAGAGTGGAGCAGCCGGTGGAAAATTATGCAAAGTTTTTTTTAAGTAAACACGTGATGTGTATGCTGATATCCATCTAGAAATATACAAAGTATACTAAATAGACAAATATGCTCAACAACTACTTTTTCAAATAATTTTACATATCTTTATACTTTGTTAAACAGTTTTTTAGCTTCTTGGATTGAAATTTATTTAAGTTAGATAAAAGCAATTGTTTTCTTTCAACAGCCATATCATTAACAATTAATTGCGCAACTTTAAAAACTTCCTCATCAACAACATGATCTATAATACACTGCTGATGCATTTTGCACAGTTCAAATTTCAATATGTTTTCTTCATAACTAGTTGTTTCACTATAAAATTGAAGCAAAGATGAAATAAAAAATAAAAAATTGGGTAAAAAGCAGAAATAAAAAATTAAAAATATATCTACCTCAATATTTGCTTACAGCATTCTTCCAGAATTTTTTGAATACATTCATCTACCAAACAATCAGAAAATTTAGATGTTTCGGTTGACAGTAAAACATCATAAGCTTCAATTTGAAACCTAATTTAATAATGATATACATACATACTATATTTACTGCCCATAATTATTTGAATAACATTTAAAAAGTTTTAATTTAATTATCTTTCTCCTTTCTAAACTTAAATATTTCACTTATATAATGTTTGCAATAAAATGTTTCTACTTTTTTAACTTAAAAAAAAAAACCTTTACAGGGTGTCAACTCAAAATTTAAAGAAATTCCAGCACTTATTACTTCATTTAGGTATGTTTTTCCAGGATCTGGGGAAAAGATATGGGTTTTTCCTAAAACCCATAACTTTTTCCAGCATCAGTATTGAAAAAGCACTTAAATTCCAGCATTAATGATGTTAATAAATTAGTGTACTACAACTTAATCGAAAAAAAACTGTAATAAATTAAAAAAGTATTAACACTATAAATACTATACTCAACACCATTATGAATTATATTTAAGAAAAAAAAAAATTTCTTTTCACAACACCATTTTTTTAATTTAACAATTTCAGAATAACGAATTTCAGAATAAACTAAAACGAATTAAACTTAATAAAACTCTGAAGAGTCAGTCATATAAATGACTTATTTTTCATGCACAAATTTATATTTTTTAATTTCTCATTTTCACGTTCACAAATTTATATTTTGTAATTTCTCATTTTCACGTTCTTCAATTTGTTTTTCTATAAACTCAACCTCTTGTTTATCGTCAAAACTTTTTTTTTTCAATTTTAAGGAAATAGTAATAAAGTTGCCTGAAGGTCTTGAAAAACCAGATGTCCTTAAAAAAGCTGGAAAATGTTGAAAGATCAGTCAATAAGTCTTGGTGTGTTATATGACCTAAGGAACTTGATCTAAAATAACGAACATTTACATGATTGTATTAACATCCCAGAATCTAATAAAAATGTCTGTTTCAGATGTTTGAGTGACCTAATTTAAACTCTCATCAAAAGAATATACATGGATGTCTGACAGTTTTAAAATTTCTAACAAAAATGATTTAAAATAAGGAGCTAAAACATAATTCAATTCGTATGAAGTTTTGCTCTGACCCATCTGAAATTGTGAAGCTATGGAACTGTCCCGAAACATAGCTGTAAAAAAAATGGTTCAAGTCATCATTTGAATGTTTTTTGATCTAGTTTTTTGACACATAAGTCTAATTAGAGTCAGAAAAGAAATATGGTAAAGAATATTTCTCTTTTGGTTTTGCAAAGAATCCTCTCAATTTTCTTAATTGATTTGCTACATTTGCGTGATCTGGCAGAACGCCCACTTGAAAAGAGTTCTATTGACCTGTGGCAAACAACACATCTTGCTTTAGTACCATCTTTAAGATCTTTCTTTAGCCAATCTTATCATTATCAAGTTATATTAATTATCATTATCTTATCAAGTTATCATCGCTCAACCTGTCATCTTTAAATTGACTTTGATGCTTCACTTTTTAACTAACTCCATATTTGTACTAACTAAAATAATAAATTAAATAAAAAAATAAAATCTAAATTAAAAATAAAAACTTTAAAAGGAATAAATATTGTTAGAAGATTTCAAATAACTTTAAAAAATTAATAACTAAACACAGATTAGGCTACTAAACAGCAATTTAAAAAAAATTCCAGTTTTTCTGGCATCAATGTTGCTTAAAGCATTATTTTTCCAATTTTTTCAGCATATTTTTTAAAAAAAACCTTTTTTCCAGTTTTTTCGGCAGAGTGGATACCCTGCTTTACAAAGTTTGAAAATATTAAACTGTTAAATGTTTACGACTTTTTTTTTCATTTAGATGTTTTAAATCTGACTGTCGCTATTTATTTATTTGATCTTTGTTTGATTTTTAGCAAAACTTTTATTAAGTCTTTTATTTTTATTTCTGATATCTAGTTGTGAACATCCTGCAGTCTCCATTCAATTAAATTTATAATAATTATATGCAACTGTTAAAAATTTGCAAAGAGAATATCTTCTAAAAAACTCTTGCAAATTGTTTCAAATTTTTCATTAATTAATTTTTGACCACTATAATGCCTCTCTCAAAAGTTAAAAATATCAAAACTTAATTTTTTTTCTGGATTTGTGAGTTATTGTAGAAAGAAAAACAAAATTAAAATACTCATAGAATTTTAATTTAAAAGATTTAGCAAGTTTAATTTAAAAGATAACAAAAATATCAATTTTTTTTTTTTTGGTTTGAAAGTGGTCAAAAATAAAAAAAATTAAAAAATTCATTAACTTATTGTTTTGTTTAAAAAAAAGGTTGACCCCCTTTTTTTGACCCCTTTTTTTTGTCAAATCCTAATGCATGTAAATTTTGTTGCAAAATAAAATTCATGCACGTCAGAATAACATTTCATGCAATATTGACATTCCAATAATGTAAAGCAAAAATATTTTATCCGTTTTTTTAACAATAAAATTGAAAAAACTACAAATTTCATAAAATGAGGTTCAGTCTCACTAATATAGTTAAAAACTAGTTATTGGACTAAATAACCATCACATCAATAAATAACACCTTTATAAAAATATAACTGTGTTTATATAGGGTCATATGAGCACCTTGGGATTAGGGTGATATGAGCACCTTGGTAATATGAGCACATTAAAAGATTTCTTAAATGCAAGCAGTGAAATAAAATTGCTTTGTATTTTTTGAATCAACTTTATGTGGTGATAACAGGAATCAGTACAATTAGCGTAAATTTATATGCTGTAATTAGTGGCTATAATCTAAATAAAACATTGTTAAACTTTTTGTTTTTTTAAAATAATATTGTTATGCATGAATAAATCTGTGGCATGAAATATTGGTGTTAAAATAAAAAAATTAATTTTTTCATAAAGAAAAATATGCTAGCTAAATATCTTTGTTTGAAAAACAATTAACAGAAACATTTAGTTTTGACTTTATTTAAAGATACCATCTTTGTGTAACATGAGCATGCTCAAATTACCCAATGTTTCCATTAAAATTAATTGTTTAAAGTCCTAAAATAGCAGTGGTTTTAATTGCTTTTTGAATAAAAACAAAACATAGTTAAAAATTTTAATATTTTAACAATACTAAATATTTCTCTGTAATTTAAATTCAAAGAATTTGAATTTTTATTGTTCAAAAGTTTGAATTATTAAAAATGAAAAAATAGCGAACTAATTTAAATTTTTTTTTTTTTTTTGTGCAGAAAACATAGTGTTTTAACAAAAAGTGGGTTAAAATTTGATCTTTTAATGATAAATTTTGTTAATAACGAGTCATTATATTTCAAAGGTTAGTTTTAATTGTCAGGTTGGTATTTTTTTACTTTTATGTTATTTTTTTGAGCTAATTTAAAGTGCTCATATTACCAAGTGGTCTGGATAATACGAGCACTTTAGCTACTTTCTTAAAAATTCTGTTTTTAAGAAAAAAATTTCAGGTGCCCAAATATCTAAGTGGATCATGGGTAGGAATCCCTTAAAATTGTTTATTCTCAAAAATTTTGGACCCGGCATAATTATTTTTTAAAATTTTTTAATTTTTGCTTAAGGTGCTCATATTACCGTAATTTACTCTATGTAAATATAAAAAAGCTAAATTAGAAAAATCTTTAGTTTTTGCTAATAAAGTTGATTTTAAATACTCATAATAAAACGCAATCATTTACTTTAGTGACTACATGTAATAAATGAATATAAAAAATAACTGCACGTATCAAATGAATATAAGAAATATCTGAACATAAATAAATAAATATAGCAATTAAAAATCAAAAATATTAAAAACCATTTAAAACTTATTAATTAAAAATATATACGAACTAAATATAAACACTAAATATATGCATCAAGCCTCAGGATATAAACTAACTCAAAATATATACTAACTAATTAAAAACACTAAATATATGCATATACTACATATCCATATTAAATTATTTTCAAATAATTTTCCCACATTAAATATCTGTTTTTTCATACCTGAGTAACATAAAAGATTTTAAAATCTGAATTAAAATTGTTAACATTAAAACTAAAATTAATGCTAATCACCTTTTAGCTTTTTCTTTCTCTTCATTGATTACTTCTATTGCAATAGCCCGAGATTCTTCAATACAGTTAAAAGCTAACATTTGATTAGTTGCTACTAATGCTTGAGACATGTACTCTTTAATCTAAAAAAAAATTCATAGACAGAAAGCATTAAAATGCAGGTATCTTTCCTCTTGTTTGATATTTATTAAAAGTATGTAACTTCTGTAATGCAATAAGCAATTTAATTTTAAAACCAGAAATTATGCTTGACATATATCAGGAAAAGTTTTTAACCATAGTCAGAAAAAATTGACTTAACTTTGAGAACTTTAAATTGACAAAAAAAAAAAATTATCAAATTTTTTTTTACACACAGAGTACTCATTAATCTATATTTTGACATGTTTTAAATCATTCAACCTGTTTTCTGTGTATAAGCATCTAAACCATTAGCTTAATGCCCCTTATCAGGTTTTGCACAGTGCTATCTGAAACTACAACTTACAGATTTTTCTTTAGAGCAGCTCAGGGTCGGCTTTGACCCTGAACTGAATTTTCTTTATCTTACTCACCAAATATCTACTTGCCAAATCATACATTTCCTGACAAACTTATCGAGCCTTGTATATTTATATTCATAGCTTACAGCTCTATGCCTAATACCAGCATAAAATCTGTAAACAAGTATTTGTCTAAAGTCAAATTTGACAGAAGTTTTGTCATCTAAAATACTATTTTTCTGTTTCTCGGTACAGTTTGGATATTTTATATTTTCATGAGTGAATACTGTAACAATCCCTAATTTAATAGAACAAGATGGTTTGTACTTTTTTGCTCTTTTATAATCAGATAGTCCAGGATTATGTAAATATGAAATACAAATATCCAAGGCCAACATTTTATTTTTCAACATCATATTTGATAATAACCTTTCATGAAAGTTTTTTTTTTTTTGAGAAATAGAAGTAATGACTGTGTGTCCTGGTCATGTTGTTAAACTGATCTTATAGTAATGAAAATACCTTACCTAGAAACTCTGATATAAAATCTCTATTTTAATTGGGTAAATATAGAACGAACTTGTAAAACATTAAAAAAATAAGTATATATATATATATATATATATATATATATATATATATATATATATATATATATATATATATATATATATATAAAGGAAAAAGTAGCTAAGCAAAATATAAATATATAACAATTAAATAAGAATTTTTTTTTTAACAAAAAGTTTCTTATATTTAAAATATTAATTAGAAAATAGTAAATAGTAAATAATACGTTTTTTACTGTATTCACCTTCTTAAGGCTTTAGTAGTTTAGTAGCCTCGGGAAGGTGAATACTGTAAAAAGATAAATTCCCAAGTAGGAAATGGATTTCTTTTTCAAAAATTGTTGTTCTCAACCTTTTAACTATAAAACACAGACTTGATGGCTAAATAATTTACAGAGAAACTAGCTTAGGGCGGAACACACAAAATGGTCAGGATTGAACTCAGAACTTCTTGTTTAGAAAGTGAGTGCTCTACCACTAAACCACTTAATTTAATTTAAAATGAAAAAAATCATTATAGATAATTTAATAAATATTCTAATGGTTTGATGCAGAATTAAAGATGCATCATTTAATATTTATAGTTATTATTCAATGCAAAGTTTTTATCAAAGCAAGATGTTTAAGTTGTTTTAAAAAAAGGAATTAAAAACAACAAAACAAATCATCAAACAAAAATAGTTATTTTAACATGAAAATAATTAAATGACTGAAAACAATTTAAAAAAACTTAAATACATCATAAAAAGATAATTACCTCAAGTAAAAACTCAGATGCAACAAAAAAAACTTCATTTGTAAGAAAATCTTCTATCATAGTGTCACAAAACTTTTTATAGTCCTGAATAAACAAATTTATACAAATAATTATAAGTTGTTTAAAACTTTTTTTATTGTGACTTTTTATATATTCTATGTTTCTCTTGACTAAAAATCAATGCATTGCATTTCTGAACATAAATTAATAAACATATTGCAATAATGTTTATTATTTTATGTTGTTTTTTTTTTTTTTTACATAAAAGAAGACAGCCTAAGAAGACAATCAAAAAATAATATCTTCTTTGTAAAAACCTAGAAAAAAGTCTAATTAAAAGAACATTGACAAAAGGTTAGCGCTTTTAAAAACACTTTAACTTAATGTATTAAGCATAAAGATAACATAATCAGCAGGTAAGATCCCAACCAACTTGAAGCAAAGTATAAGCATTGAAAATATTAAGTTTTTGCTCATTAAGTGTTGGAAAGCATAATTTTGTTAATTCTACTGTATATAAATGGTTGGATTTTTTATTTTTTAAATTTTATGAAGTAATTAATTAAAGAACTATTACTAAAATTATTTGAGGAATAATTTTAGTTGGAGGGGGTCAACAACAGGGAAAGGGGGTCATCCATATATTACGTACCCAAAAATCTAGAGATTTTTGGGTACGTAATATATTTAAATATACAAATGACTTACAACTTGTCAACTTTATAATACAAGTTATTTTATATTACAACGAGTGTTTTGTTTTTGGCAAAGCAGAATTTTAGTATTATAAATGTAAATATATTTATTACATAATTATAATACAAAGTTATGGTAGAATTAGAAAAAAAAGAAAATTTTCTTTTCTTTTAAACACAGATATGAAGTGCAGAGATTTTTTTTCCTAAAACCCTCAGCATAAAATATAGTGTAATATCACTATAGCATTAATGACAATATGGTCAATTTTGCAAATTTGTTTATAAAAGAAAAGCATTTTTGTTGTAACTAAGATGAAAAAGTCATTTTAAAAATAAACCAATAACTGCATAATTAACTGAAATGCTTTTTTACATTTTTTTTTTTTTTTTACACAGTTATTGCAAAAAACAAAAACAAAAAAAAAATGAAAAAATTAATTGATAATATTCTTATCAATTCCTATTAAAGCTAATATTTAAAAATCATTTATAATATTTAATATTTTAAAAAATAATATATATATATATATATATATATATATTACACACTAAATTATTGCATAACAATTTTTATATTATGTAATGAATTATTTATGTCAAATATTATAAAAAATTAAATCATTTGTCTTACTTTGAAATAAAAAAATAAAAAGCACAATTAAATGTGTTAAAAAAAATTGAAATTACATAAATACATTTATTGTGGAATCTTTGAAATTGTTGTGTAATTCTTAAACTTCTTTGCTTTTTATTACAGCTAAATAATAGCTAAATAAACAGCTAGAGCAAAAACTAGAAGCTTACATAAAAAGCTGCTTAGAGAAGCAACTAGCATGGCCTGCCATGTTTGTTTTAGGAGAATTTTTCTCTGCTATGGAACTCATTTACTACCCCAAGGCCTGATGATGTGTCCATTAATTGATATGTTTCTTCACATGTGTTTACAAAGCATATATATATATATATATATATATATATATATATATATATATATATATATATATACATATATATATACAGTGTTATTTTATTATGAGTTATAAATGAAATATTTGGTTTATTTACTTTTACAAAGTTTTAACAATTTTGTTTTGTTTTAATTTTATTTTTGTAATTGCAAATAAATTTAATTTGATCAATATTTTATCAAGGAGTAGAAATAATATTGGTTGTATCATGATATTGAAGAAGTGAATTGTCCTTCAAAAACATCTTAATTTTATTTTATTTGTGTAACACTGTTCACACTTAGATAAAAAAAGATTAATATAACTTAATATAGAATCTAAAAATAATTATAACTTAAAAATACCTCTCGAAGTATCATTAAATGATGAGAGACATTGGTCTCTTCTCCCTCATTATCTTCTATTACTTGAATATAATCATCTTTGGTTGGAATAAACTCTGAATCATTATCTTGTGTAACCTTTTTACTAAGCCGTTCTTTTATGCCTCTTACCTTTTAATTAAATAATGTTGGGAAAAATAATAATAATTTAAACTTAATACGTGTATATATATGTGTGTGTATGTATATATATATATATATATATATATATATATATATATATATATATATATATATATATATATATATATATATATATATATATATATATATATATATATATATATATATCAGGGATGCGGTCCCAAAAAGGACTCCAGATTTGAAAGTCACAAAAAGATTACTTCTTTCTAGTTTTTGGTATCAAGTAGCTTTAAAAATATAGAAAAGTTTATGGACTAAAAACTTATGTTTATGGGGAAAAAAATAAGACTTATAGGTCAGAAGAACAATCAATATTTGAACTCGTAGTCCTTAGGTATAATGGTGGCAAGAACTCCAGGCTTGAAAACAATAAGTTCCAAGTCATAAGTTATAATTTTTTTTCTTATAGCAGGTCATTAATCAACCAACTTGTTTAGAGCTTCTGGACACCAGAGACCATAAAAAAATAAAGTTATAAAGTCATAGTCCTTTTGCAACACCGCATCCATGATATATATATATACAGTATGTAAAAAAAATAATTGTAAACTTAAAAAAAATCATAACTTTAAAGATTGCATCAAAAAAAATGAGTTTTCTGATAAAAATTTTTTAGATACTTAACATGGCAAAAACTAATGAGGAGTAAACAAAACTGCACTCACACATAACATTTTTTAGTCAAAGATGTATGAAATATCAGTCATTATAATTGAGTTAAAAAGAAAAGTTTTCTGCAATTAATTCAGCCTGATTTTTGAAAGAGTTAAAAAGATCTAACTCAAACATGAAAGAATACTACTTTTGGCTAAGGTATTGACACAAGTTAATTAATTAATTTTTTGTTTAATTTTTTCAAAGCCTCTCCAATCTGACTTTCTAGAGACTAAAACCATCAACCTTAAGAATTCCAGTTGCCCAAATAAAAGGATGTTAATATTGGAGAATATACCATCAACAACAACAATCAACAACAACAAAGAATATACCATTGGAGAATATACCATCAACAACTAAGACTTAAAGATGTGACAACCATATTTAAATTATTCTCACCTAAATTCTCTATAAATATATTATCATGCTATCATGTTGATGTTATTTCATCTTCACTTAGCTTTTTAAACTATTTTGCTTTGGAAACATACTGTGGTTGAATGAATTATTCTCCAACATTTAGAGTGCTTCTACTTGATAACTTTTAGTTTAATAATGTAAAAAGTATTTGTTTAAAAAATTGAGGATTTTAAATCAGGATTAAAGCCCGTATTCAAATCCAAATGCAGATAGCTAAAAATCTGATTGATTATAATATTGGTTAAGTATGTTTATTCACAAACCAACCTTTCCTATGCAGGGTTATACAAACAGGCTAACCAGAGATCGCTAACAGGTCTGAGTCACCCATAGGTTACTATGTTACAGAGTTCATTACAAAGTTACTTACAAGTAACATGAGTACTGACAACACACATTCACATTTAATTATAATTATACATTAATAGTAAAAACTTGTAAAATATTTAATATTTTTTTTACTATATAAAAGCTCACTGTATCCAACTTTAGATAAAAATATTAACATATTTTTTTTTTATTTACAAATTTATTTTAAATGGATATTTATTTATATACAAATCTCTGTGTATATGTTTCTATTGATAAATAAACTTACATATTCTTTGCTTACAACTTCATCTTTTATTTCTTTTTCATCTTCCTCAATAATAATTTTTTCTATGTTTTTATGAGGATCAGATAAAATGTGATAACTGCCAATATAGGAGCCATCATCTGAAAAACTATTTGTTGGAATATACAAATATTCTTCAGGTAGATCTCCCCCATTGATAACCTATTCATAAAATTTAAAACTTTATTTTAATTTATTAATAAAAGCATTGAACTTTTTTGTAACAATGTCAAAATTCAAAAGTTAATCATAACATTTTAAACAGCTAAAATGCTACATGATTTCATAAAACAAAGAAAAATCTCACATTAAAAAAAAAACTTTAAACCTCATATATCTCAAACATTTTAACAAGGTGGTTTTAATGACATTTCTTTCACTTACAAAATAATTTTCATAAATGAGCCATTTATTTTAAAAGTGGCATAAGTCACCTTTTCAAGACTACACAAATTTATTTATACTAATAAAAATTTAAGTATCCTTAAACATAAAAAGATTCTGTATACGTATGTATGTATGTATGTATGTATGTATGTATGTATGTATGTATGTATGTATGTATGTATGTATGTATGTATGTATGTATGTATGTATGTATGTATGTATGTATGTACGTATGTATGTATCTATGCATATATTTATATATATATATATATATATATATATATATATATATATATATATATATATATATATATACATATATACATATATACATATATACATATATATATATATGTATATATATATATGTATATATATATATATATATGTATATACATGTATATATATATATATATGTATATATATATGTATATATATTTTTTTTTTTTTTTTTTTTTAAACATCTTCACTTCCAACAAGGCTGCAAGCAACCACTATAAGAGTTGGAAGTTACTGGAAGAGAAAAGACTAAATCTGTAGAGCAAGATAACGATTGACTGATGACATAAAAGATTGCAAATTATATGAATCAGGAAAGCAAGATGAAGGAAGCGAATTCCAAAGAACTGATGTTCGAGGAAAAAAACTAGAAGAATAAGAGTTTTTGAAGCACTTAGGAACATATATATATATATATATATATATATATATATATATATATATATATATATATATATATATATATATATATATATATATATATATATTTAATCATTTAAGTATCCGCACACCTCATTTAAAGTCAGTTTACAAAAAAAAATTTAAAACTTTTAGCGTAATCCACAGACGTGACAAATTTACCACAGATGTGACATTTTGAATAGTATCGGTTTATGCTGTAACAGCTATAAGTGTCATGTAATTTACAAAAATAAAAACCATCTTTAATCAACAGTTTTTAATAGTTGACATAAAATAGTACATAGTACAAGTTTTTACAAAATTTAATGTATTACTAGTTAGTAAATTAGCAGATGTTTTGAATGGTAAGTCTTGTGGAAAACAATATTACCCCCTGTTATTGAGGTTCGACTGGCACAATCTCAACACTACATCACTCTTATCAATGACAGAGATGTCATCTTTCTTCAAGGCTTGAATTAGCCCAACATAGTATTTCACAAAATTTTTTAATATTTGAAACTTAACAATTACAAAATCATTGATTTTAATAGACAAGCTGTCCTCCTCATTATTGCTGTAAACACTGTGGTTACTTAGTCTTGTCAATTTCTTTTCACATTTACCCGGTCCTTGGGATTCTTGAGCCAAACATTTGGATGTTGTTTTTTCAGCTGATGTTTTTTTTATTTTCAAGAATTGTTGACCGGCTGAACCATGTTAAGGAATTTCTTAAAACAGAGGCACAAAAAATTATTAATGAAACAGAAACAAGTTAAATAACTATTTTACAATAAAAATTTCATGCACAGTTTATTTTAATCTTTAATGAAAATACTAGAGTAACTGAAAAACAAAATATTAATCAAACATGCAAAGAAATGCAAAAGTTTGCAATATTTAATATAAGCAAATATAATATTCAATGTTATGTTCAATATAACACAATATTCAATAAAAGCTACACACTAAGAGGATACAAGGATGTCCAATGAAGATCCGTCAAAAAATCCACATTTTGTATCATTGCCACATCCAGTGCATGTCAGCCTTCTCATATACAATGTTTCTTTTTTAGTGGAACTAAAAAAGAAACATTGTATATGAGAAGGCTGACATGACCAAACCACCTCATGAACTTGTAAAATCCCCTTAAAAGTTGTTAGGTTTTCCGGTACACATTTCTCATAGAGATTGAAATCTGTGTTGTTAATAGTATAGATGGCTATACTTGGAGACTTTTCTTTTATTACTTCAACCAAATAAATAATATCAGGAATATCTTTTCTTTGTCCAATCAATCTGTCTGCGGTTCTTTTGTACAACCTCCTATTCCATCAGAGGCACCTTTTCCGTATTTCTTTTTTGTGAAATGCTACCTTATAGTTTTAGCTCTAAACTCTTTTTGAAAAAAAGTACCAACCAAATAGAACATGAACTTATTTCGGTTCAGTTGAGAAGTACTATCACTAAGGAAATGAACTGTTTCAATGATAGGCAGCTTTTCTTTTAAGTCATTAACAGCAGGCTTTAAATGCAAACAGATTCCAACTAAGTCATAATGCCTGTGCTCTGAAATTGTACAGTGAGATTTTGCCTTTATTTTTTTTCCAGAAACACTACAATAGTATGCCATAACTGTATGGATTGACACTGGGTTTTTTGATCTGCTAAAGTGGAGTGATTGGTTTTCTTTTGAGTATTTGCAACTGTAATTTTCTGAAAAGTCACAATGAATGAAAATATCTCTAGGCCCTAAGTTATTTTTTATTTCTGATGTAGCTTTGTACCGGTGTTTTATATTAAGTACATGCTTCATAAACCTTTCCAGTAAGTTGTTAATAAAATGCAAAAATAGCTTTTTTTAAGTTAATGTTAACTCTTCTTTTACTGTTTTAAAACATGTCTTCATTATATATTTTATCACAAGTTCAACACTTTTTTTAGACCATTGTGGAAATGTTACTTTTTCATTCATATCATTCTCAAATTCCTTACAAACAATTTTTTTGTTTAAAATGCATACTCCACATTTCCTTTCCAAGCATGATTCTCTCAGCTCGCCGTCACTTGTTATACTTTTTAGCAAGTCAGTAGGATATTTATATGTCAACATCTTAAGACTATACAACTTTTCAAGAATCAAAGAAAAATTCTAATGGTCAATACATAGACAAGTATCTTGTTTAGGAAAGTCTGGTTGAACAACCCAAAAAGTCTTAATTTGCAGAATAAGCTATAAGACGTTGACTTGAATTCAGTTGTTTGTTTGAACTCATTGAAAACAAATACAACATTGTATCATTTAATAGTCTTTTTTGTTTTATCACTTTGTTTCTTGTTATTGTTTCTTTTTTCCCAGCAGTAAGCCTATTGGAACTATCTTTTTCTTTTCAAAACTTCCATTTCAACTTTTTGTTTTTTCAGTACATTTGAGGGCTGATTCAAGCCCTCAAATGTACTGAATTCAATTTGCATGTCGCTGTCTGTAGAATTTTTGTTTGTATTTATCACCTCTTTGCTTTAACAAATTGTTTTTTTCTTCTAATTTTGGATTTTTTTCTTCAACCCATCTCTATATTTTCTACGAACTTTTAGCCTGCTTCTTTTTCCTAAACTAGATTCCTCACTGGGACCAGGAAGTACATTGATGCCTATTTCATTTTCAATAGAAATATTACAGTTGGGCTTTCAGGTGGTGTAGACAAACTTTCAATAAGTTGCTGTCTTTTCTTTTTTATTTCCCCACATCTCTGAGTCCTTTCTTTCTAACCTTTTTTTACTGATCTTTTATTCCTTTCTGAAAGTTCATAAATTTTCTTTCGTATTGCTTTTTTTCTTTCTCTACCTTTCTGTTTTTGTTCTTCATATTTGTTCAGGTTTTCAGCTTTTATCTTCTCCTTCGCTTTCCGCATACTTAGCTTTTTGAATTCTCTAGTTTTTTCTATCTTTACCATTTTTCTTAAATGTAAGTAAAGAAAAAATTATAACTAAATTATTATTGAAAAGATAAATGTTTCTATCCAGAAACATTTATCTTTTCAATAATAATCAATTAGCTATATGAGTAAAGTTTTTAAATGTTAAAAATGCTAAAAATAGGCATTCAAAAATTCAGGTACAGGTAAAATTGTCATTTGTTGTCACATCCGTTCCATGTGTGTCACGTCTGTTGCTTTCTGTACTCCACAGACATATCCACAGACATGACAAATTGAAGAAAAAACCTAAAAGGAGTGTTATGTTTTGAGGCTAGGACTCTGCTCCCCTTGGAGTAAATATGCCTAGGTAATCGCTATTAAACAAAAGTATTGCTTATAAAAATTTAAAATTATTTACCATAAGTATGTTCGCCACAGATGTGACACACTAAGACTAACAAACTCAACTTTTAAAAGGTTTAACTTTTTGGGATTAGCAAAAAGTCTGGATGGTGACATTCCACGGATGTGACTTGTCACAGTCTGTGGAACATTATTTATTCGATATTTTAGATTGGTTTTCATCAGTTTGATATTGTATTAGCTGTATATTTGTTATTTGCACTGGTTTAAAGTGTAAATAGTAATAACTTGAAAAATTAGCGGGGACAGTATATTGCTACTTTTTTGAAGAATGATCCATATGTATATATATATACTAAATTGATTAAAAACATCATGTTATTTATTAATTTTTAATTATTTTTATTAATGCGGCAGTGGTGTAGTGGTAGAGATTCCGAGTTTGATTCCCACCACGTCCCTGGTAGTACCATGTTCAACTTGTTTCTCCGCACAGCACCCTTGTTTGTCAAGGTTCATGTTTTAGAGTTATAGAGGGTTATAATCACAAGTAGCCTCCTCATCTGAAGGGGCCTTCTAATGGCCTTGGGGAGGTGGATTACCAAAAAAAAAAAATTCAGTTTGATAATGGTAATTATATGGTATAACGTTTTTTTCAGTTTGATAATGGCTTATACTATATAAGCCAAAATATTACCATTTAATAAAAAAATAATATATAACCAAACATGCTTTTAATCAATTAAATATAACGATGACAAGTGACATCATTATTAACAATGTCACTTAAACAATATATATATATATATATATATATATATATATATATATATATATATATATATATATATATATATATATATATATATATATATATATATATATATATATATAAACACACTAATTATTTATAATAATAAAATTCTAAGTATCCTGAGACAACAAATACAACTAAATCTTCTCCAAAGTTGGCAACTTTTGAGAAGATATACCTGTATTTGTTGTCTAAGGATACTTAGAATTTTTATTTTTATTTATTAGTGTATATATATATAAATATAAATATATATATATATATATATATATATATATATATATATATATATATATATATATATATATATATATATATATATATATATATATATATATATATATATATATATATATATATAAATTGTTAGCTTTGAGTGTACAGAAAGTAAAAAGTTATTCTTTTGACAACAAATTATGTCAATATTAATTACTTTGACTTTATTTTTATTTCATTTTTTTATTGTTAGCATGTGTAACAAATGTAAACAAATGTAATGTTAACATGTGTAACAAATATAAGTTCAAAAAGGATTAATTTAAATGTTACATTGTTACATATTATTAGAATACCAAGTTATAAAAACAATATTTCAATACAACAAATAATTTGAACATTTTCAAAGATTTTTCTTTTAATTTTGAAGTAAATTTTTTTAAAGTTTAAAATTATTGTAAAATTCTATGGTGGCAAATTTACAAAACCATTTTTGGCTTTTCACATTAATGTATCGTAAACTTTAAAATAGTGGAAATATCAAAAAGTATCAATATTCATTTTTTATTAATTAAAACAACATTTAATCAATAAATACATAAAAAGAAATTTCAAGAAAAAAATATTTATTTGATACTTCTTTCTAAAATGTTTAAAAAATTTATTTATTTATAATGTGAATTAAAAATATATGTTTTAACTGATTCCATAGAGCTGGAACTGAAAGAAGGGTGAGTTGACACTTCTTTGATTCAGTGCAGTGAAAACTATTTAAGGTTAAAAAATAAAATCAAAATAAATGTTTATAAAACATTTAGATAAACCATTTAATCAAAATAGTTTGTTTTACCTCAGATATTGATGTAATACATTTTTCTGTTATAATTCTAGACTTTCTTCGAATAAATTGTTCATCAGGAATAGTAAAAGAAGTTCTGTTCAAATAAACATAAGCGCTATCAACAGAAAGTCCGAAATGGGTACAAAAACCTTTGAGCTGAAATAAAAAAATATCATTTACATATTATTAAAATTATATGTAATTGAAAAATTTTTTAGATAAATATTCTTTATATGAATGTGTGCATATAACAGCCCTCAGAATTAGGAAAAATTAGGTCGGCAACAATTTGCCGACCTTAACCTGTGTGAGGTCAGCATCAGGTCGACAGAAAAAATGCGAAACAAAGGATAGACTATAAAACATAGAAATGAGGTCAGTAATTTTTTGCCAACCTCAAACATTTCTAGGTCAACAGTTAAGCTGGCTTTGCTGACCTTAATACTGAGGGCTGCACTTCTCAAAAATCTAATGTAAACAACTTTAAACTTATACATTTTGTTTTTGCAAAAAGAAATTTTAAAGTGAAGTCATTTTATCTTTAGCTTTCTATTTTTTCTACCTTTTATGGTTTTATGATAAAAATTATTTGATCTCTGGCTTAACAATTTCATTTACGGATACGGCTATATGAAGCTCTTTGACATGATGGCAGGTGGTTAACAAGAATAATGGTTGGTCAGGAAACTTAGGGGCTCATTACATGAGGTGAATTCAACCCGGGATGAAAGCTCAGCTCGGTGCCGGGTTGAAAATTGCTTACTATTACATAGACGTTTTCATCCCGCTGCAACTTTCAGTTTTCAAATTTCAACTTGGCCGGGTTGAAATTTTTTTATGTAAAATGTCTATTCGTGAAAATAATAATATTGTACAAAAAGTGTTATTTATAATTCAACAGTGCAGTCTACTTACAGCACTTATATTGCAACTTAATGGTTTAGTAATTACATACAAACTATTAAAAAGCAAACGAAATATTGCCCTTGGTGCTTATTTATGCACACGAAAAAATAACTTGCAACGTAAGAAGAAACTTGCTAGACAAAGACT